ACGGAAACACACACACACACACGTATTGGTATTGCTGTTGGGACGAGACACGGGATGCGAAGAACAACCACGAAAAACACTGTCACTACTCCCAGATCTGCTCACTATTTACCATCTAAAATATCGCTAAACGAAACAGAGATTCGAGAAGAAACGAAGTCAAAGGAAAAAAGAAGCACGCATGAATCTAACTACATTATATCCAGTTGTCATTAAATTAAATTTCACATTGTCTAGCAAGTACGATATTATTATACGAAGGGAAGAACGCAGGAGGAGAAAGGAGAGTAAAAAATACATTAAGTTATTAAGTTCCAAAACAACATCGGTGGTGACTTAATTTTTACATTTGATACTTTTTACATATTTGCACGTTAGTAGTACTATTTAAAAAGAAAAAAAATGCTCTAATGCACAGGCGCGCGAGCGCATGCACACGATGTTACATTTTGTGTGCATATCGTTTCCTATTTCCTTTTTTTTCTTTGTGTGTGTTTTTATATTCGAATCGTTTGTAAAGTCGAAAAACTTGCCCGTCTCTTTTGTCTTTTTTACGTGCTAATTTCAAAATTTCAATTCGTGCCGCTATTATTGCCGTTTATACCATAGTTGCTGCATTATCGAGGTGAGTGAAGCACTACTAACTTTGAAAGTACATTTTTATCCATCGTGTGCCGTGACCGTCCGTTGCTTAACGCGTGAATGTTCCAGAAGAAAGAGAAGACGTAACATGTTCTTTTTTTGTTTGTTTTTGTTTCGAAAACGGCCGATCAATAATACGCGACGATCTCTCAAGACGTAATTCTCTCCGCATTCTTCACGTGTCCTCACTTTTCTTCAATTTCTTCCAACACCCACGTCTCTCTCTCTCTCTCACACACATACACTGAGCACACGCGCACACATTGTGTCTATTGCTCTCACTCTTTTTCACCCAGTTCCATTTCTTCTCTCTGTCTTTCTTTCTTCCCCTCCCTCCCGTATATATGTTATAATATATATACATATATTATACACGATAATATATATATATAAAGCAGATATTTACCAGAGACTCGATCACTATTGACGCGATAAAAAAGAGAGGAAAAGAAGAAAACGGGAAGAAATTGTGTACGCGTATAAAAATTATATCGTCCCGATATTCCCTTTTACATACATACACAGGTATGCATGCATATGCACGCACTAGCAGTATATATGCGTGCTTACGTGCGTATGCGTGTGTATATATTATATATATATATACGTATATATAATATTGAGTTTTGTAGGTATGATCGATCTCGTGGAAGTTGTCGATAGAGTTGTCGAAGGTAATTCGTTATTTCACGCAATTTTGCATATTTGTATAACTTCCGGAATATCTCGTATGCAGAAGATAAGATTTTTTTAAATTCGGCGCAGAGAAGGAAGATGATAAGTTGGCAGGATGTTCTCTTTTCGATTGAGGAATGGGTTGAAATCTGATATCGCCACGATAAATACTTGGAAAAGTTTCTTTTCTGGTGTTTCGCGGTGACGGATTGTGAAAAGGCGGATCAGAGACGTATAACGGTCTATGATTGGCTCGACCGAAACCTCTTAAGCCATTTAAAAAATGGGAGAAACGATAAAAATGAAAATAAAAACGCGTCTAAGTGCAACGGATACGTTCGGTCCAGGGGCGGATATAACACATGTATATATGTACGAATCGAGTGCTTCTAATTAATTCGGACAAGTCCTTTTTATATATACTTTACTTAAGTAACGAAACTTAGTTTTCGCCGACCGAATGAAAGAAAGAAATTCCATTTGTTTCTATGTTAAAACCGATCATCCTTTTTTACGATATTCGAAATAAATAAACGTTGAATATTCTCTCGCTTTCGTTTCTTACCGTACTCTTAACTTGTTTTTAGTAGAAATCGGTATACGTATGTAGGTCCTCGAGTATCCACCATCCGCCTCTGGTTCGGTCCATTCCATTTCGGTCCTGTGCCGTCGGTAGAACGACTCTGACGAACAATTCGTCTCGTATGCATGGATACTTTTAAGCGGATGTAAAATACGCGCGCCTACCCTATGCAAACACAGACACGCACGCATAAATACACGCATACAATATACGTAAATGTTTATCGTATGGAAGTAAGTAATGATTATCGATATTACGAGGTGTGTTGCGTGGGTAAACGTTTCTCTAATGTGTTGTATTTTTCAATGTGTCCATATTTATGTCGCGCATCGAACATAACGAGGGGTGAATGAACGATATTGGAGTAAAAAGGACGGAGTCGATTTTGCAAAGGTATTCTCATAAGATCGATTCCACAAATAGCCTTCGCATGTTTGTTACACATCCGGGAATCGATAGCATTAGCAACGGGTTACGATTTCGTTTGAAATTCGCCTATCGAAATCGTGATCGACCATGTTATTTTATTGACATTAAACGAAGCACATGCTTTTTATATTACTTCACGCAACTATTAGTTACCGATGCAAGAGAGACTAAAAAGTAAGAACGAAATGACAGGGGTGCAGAAAGGTCTCCGAGAGAGTCTTAAATCTAATTAGAGACGGATCAACTGAGCGAGTTCGAGTAGATAGTACAAGAGAAAATTAACATTGATCTTTCGAGACGTGTGTCGATAGTCCTTTAACAAGTCCTTTATCTCGATCTCGCACAGCCGATCCACACGATATATTTGTACGATTCGATCGCTTTTCCATTTTAGTCGTCTTCAATTCCCCTTTCCTCCCCTTTGGCCCTCTTCGAATTCCTCGACCATCGTTGGTCGATCAACATTCATCCTAACAACTGTATTTTTATCGCTACATTCACCGTTAATTGGATGTAATCAACGCTCGAGCATTATCGGCTTGCGTTTCTTTAAATTTTTCATTTTATTCTTTTTATCTTTTTTCTTCTTTTCTTTTTAATGATATTACGATTGTTCGAATAAATGTGATTTATTTTTTTTTTTTTCGTGTTAACAATCATCGGACATTTATTTCATACATAGATAAGAGCGAGAATTACTTGGAAAAAGAGGTGATGTGTCATTTTTACCATTTGTTTGTTTCCTTCCTTCCTCTAACACCCCCGCCCCCCTCTTTTTTTGCTTATTTTCCGATTCCTATTCACTTTTTTTTCTTCGATCAGTTTAAAAGCTTGATGTGGTGATTTGGTTATCGAAATGTACATCGGTCACTTTGCGTTATACATACTTACGAATGGCGAGATGTCCGCCCTTCATTCCAACGATTATACTCCTCGATTCGTAAAAAATTCTCTCTCTCTCTCTCTCTCTCTCTCTCTCTCTCTCTCTCTCCACTCGTGAAAAAAAAAGCTACTAGCCATTGCAAATCACATTCAAATGTTCATCCGCTGAATATCCCTAGTTTCCTCGTCCCAACTTACGTTGTTCTATTTGTATTTATCATCGATCATCGTAATTGTAAATTATAATTATTATAAACGTTTACACGAAATAATAAATTCTGATAAAATGTCTCAGAAAAAAAAGAAAGAAAGCCACAACCTCGATTGTCCTGCTCTGCAGTATCATATCAGGTTCTGGAAGGGCAGTATTGCCCCACATTCAGTGAATAAATTGGAAAAGAAAAGCTACGGTGGAAAAGATATGTAGTTGAAAAAGCATCGTTGGTTAACGTCAAGGTCTAATCATGCGTATTTCGTAATAATCTGCAGTCGACGATACAGCAGAAATCGTTAACAAGAGAGAGAGAAAAAAAGAAACTCGACGGTTGTTTATTGAAGAGCGTTCTGAAATTTTGCTCTCGAAAATGTATATCCTCATCCTTAATTACTACACTTTGTTCAGATTCACTATACTAGCGTCACTTTAAATTCAACATCGAGTTCGTATAGCGCTTACACTTTCAACAACAGTATTCTATATATATAGATGTGAAGAACTTGATTTCGAAGGCTACGCAGTCGTAGGATGATGATGATGATTATGCTCGGTATCGTTGATTCGAGATTCGTCGCATGTAGATATTTGCAGGAGTTAGAAGATAGGCAAGACATTAGATACGATTGAAAATGGATGTGAAACCAAAGTCGTTTTTTGACCCTGATTCGAACGAACAAAAGTCTGAAGATGGAGGGACACTGGTTTCAAATGAGATAGATTGTGCATTACAGAAACTCATTTAAATCTAAGCAAATTGAAATAAAAGTAAAAAAAAAAAAAAAAAAAAAAAAAAAAAAGAAAAAACAGTGTTTGAACGTTTCGGTAATCTGTGCTGAAATTGAAAATTAGAACGTAGCCGTTGAACAGTCTCGCGATGTCTTTCTACATCTTGTTAACTTTCAAAGTTTATACGAGAATGTGTATGTTTGTACATTCGCCTACCAAAAATATAGTAATTTAGTTGGCTTTTAATAAGTTTCCATCGATACCATTTTAGATCCTTGTATTGTTGTCGCGTCGAGATCTTTTATTTTACAGCTTAAGACATTTCCTCGCTGTGTGTATCCCTTATCAATTAGGACTGTGTGGGCTACATGGAATTATTTCATACGATACTATGGATTATACATATATAGATGGACAGATACGTACATAAATATTGTGTACAGGTGCATACATACGTTTAAGTGCCTTTCCGAATAAGAAGGATCTACTATAAGATAATTAGAAGGATTTTCAGAATTTCTTTACATGTTTCTTATTTATCATCATTTATCCTATCGTTTGCCGCTGTGATTACAATTATACACTATACGATATCGACTCGATCGGACGATAATTATGTAGCAAAGTGGTTTGTCTCTTTCACCATTCTGCGATCGTGGGACTACCATCCAGACCTTGGCCTAAGTACCATAGATCAAAGACCAACGGCATTTTGATCGATCGACGAGAACGCTTAACACTGCTATGAAAGATAACACGTAATAAAATATTAATGGAATTGGATATAAATAAAAATCGTGTAAAACCGACCAACAGAAGACCCTCATTTTTCCCACGTGATTTTTTTGAAAATTACAAGACACGCCAGATGAATTATTCGTTATTTCCTCGACAACTTCCTTAACAACTTATCGAGAACAGGAAGATCAGATTAATTATCTGTCAACTTAATATTTGGTCAATCGCCAATTTATCGAACGTACATATACGTAAGATAGAGGTTCGTGGTACGAGACTTGCGAAATTTTTCTTCAGATCGTAGAAAAAAGATAAGTATTTTGAGCTTTGTTCTTTAAAACGAGACGGTGAAAAATAAAAATAACCAAGTATCGAAGTTTACAGTTATTCACGACGTTGGAGAGATTCGTTCTGTCTCGGAGTATTATTAGACATGAATTGCGTTAACTTCCAATAGTTATGTGTCAATAACTAAAGTACCTAGTAAATGACGGATGAGTCGAAGCACGTAAGGGTAGACACAGGAAGCGTTCTGTCACGCCCCGGACGTCCCTATATTTTTTTATCCCAGAGGAGTTTGTATCCAAGTTCACTTGTTTACAACGAACTTAACGACGCAATATTATACAAATAAATTTGTAATAAAAAACAATTTAAAATAGTTTCTAGGAATTGAACGATAGCGACTGAAGTGATTGTTATTGGCTGGTGCATGTATCGCTAACACCATCTACGGCCGTTTCCTAAATTTAATACTACGTAGAGTGGGAACTAACCGATATTATTGGTGGGGGCTTTGTACAGAAGCACACGTAAAGGTCACCTTCAGGTTTAGTCTGACTCAAGACGCGAAACGGTATCTGACGTTAAGTCAGAGCACCGTAGACCTTTCGTCGACTTCAACTTAACAAGGGAATCGTATCAATTTCAATTCTTGTCACAATTGGATATATACTTTGTCGGTGAGTTGGATAAATTCTGTTTCGTCGAGTATTTTTTACATACAGAGAGTAACCCAGTGACCAATTGTCAGTGACAAAGTGACGTTCCCCTTGTATACACATTGCAATAGACAATTGTTTTCCATCGTTATTATTAAATAAATTTTATTATCTTTCCTCCAACTGATTTCGCTAGTTTTCAAATTAACTTCGCTCTTCATTCTTAAGCACCGAATTCCGTGTCATCGTTGTTCTGATGTTTTGATGCACAGTACTTTGAAACTGTGCCAGATTCCATTGATTCTTTCTACACATGCTATTGTATTTTAAAATACGAAGGACTGCCGAAGCGGTTTCGTGTTGCAATGTCCTTTTAGAATATGTTTCTGGTATATACTTTCTATTACTCGCTCTATTTGTAATATTAGGTAAGTACGTAGCTATATTTTCAACTTCTTTCAACTTCACGATTTTATCTTACAAATTTTTTTTTTATTACCAATTCATTGTTATGCAATACACTGCTACTACAATAAGACTACCAACATCATTTTCATCTTCGTGATACAATAATGTAACGATCTTGCGTTACAATACGAAAGATTCGATTTATACCTGAAAATTTAACGATTATTACGTAAAGAAATATGAAAATTCTTTAGAATGAAGCTAGATGCTATATTCGTGTTATGTCAAAGTATAGTTTATAACACTGACAGTTCAACTTTCGTTCTGTAAGGTTATATTTTAGATTGGACATCAACATTCCTTAAGGTCCATTCAAATTTTTAGTACATCAATTTCTCAAAATATGTCAATGAAACATAGCAATTCGTCATGTGCTTGTACAACTTTAGACAAAGTGGAAGACGAAGTCACCTCTTCCTACATTTTAAATCCAGCAGAAAGTAATATATTAACCACAAAATTTTTCTTGTGGTTAAACAAGATCAACAAGAGTATTGGAAAATAATACAGATTTTTTATTAGATGACATAGAATGTAGCCTTTTAAAGGATGTAAGAACAAATGTTTCTTTAACGAGTACAGCAATTTCAAATGTAACAGAGGCTAGTATTTGTAGAAAAAGAATTCTTAACGTTCAGAATTTGCAGTTGTCAATGGTTTTTCCACAAGTTAGTTAACAGCTCGATGAACATGGTGTACTTACTTTCTTATATATTATGAGCTTAGTCTATTCATGAAAAATTCCAATAGATGTTTACAGGGAACTATCTTATTACATCATTCAAGGCTCCCACGAATTTTTGTTATGACTTAGATCATGATATAGGACAAGAACTTGATGAATATGACACATATTCTTCACTTGTACTGCCGATGAAAAAGGCAAATGAATTAATATTCCTTGATACGTATTATCATAAACACATACTGCGTTATTGTACACGGGGATAAAATAAAAACTATCTCTAACATGGCAAAAAAGGACAAATGAAAATTGCTGTTTTATAGGGATACAGCTGGTACCCTCGTCCAAAAATGGCAGAAGATTTAGCAGCACAAAGGTTTATAAAACCTGGGAGTCATAAAGGTAAAGGCCTTGCAGTCTTTACCAGTGGAGGTGATTCTCAAGGTACAAAATAAATTATTACAGTGTAGAACATAAATACATAATAACTTTTTTTTTTTTTTTTTTTTTTAAATACAATTCAATATCAATATAAAAATTTACTCTTTAGGCATGAATGCAGCAGTTCGAGCAGTTGTTCGAATGGGTATTTATCTAGGATGCAAAGTTTTCTTTATTAGAGAAGGCTATCAGGGCATGGTGGATGGTGGAAATAATATTGTAGAGGCAAATTGGTCCTCTGTGTCTTGTATCATCCACAGAGTATGTATCTTTATTCTTATGTTTGCACTTTAAATCAACACAAATTACAGTAATTATATATTCTAGGGTGGTACAGTAATAGGATCTGCTCGATGCAAAGAATTCCGGGAACGTGCTGGCCGTAAGAGGGCTGCGAAAAATTTAGTAACCCATGGTATAAGTAATTTAGTTGTAATAGGAGGTGATGGTTCACTGACTGGTGCAAACCAGTTTAAAGAGGAATGGCCGGATTTATTAAAAGAATTAGCTGAGGCAGGTAAGTAAAAAGGAAAAGAAAAAACTAATACATTTCTATTTCGGTACACTTCATCGAAATATACGCGTTGCTAATTTACCGTTACTGGTTATTACGTAGGAGAAATAACTGCAGAACAACGAGAGAAATATCAACATTTGCACATCGCTGGTATGGTAGGTTCTATCGACAACGATTTTTGTGGAACCGACATGACAATTGGTACCGATTCTGCGTTACATCGTATTATCGAAAGTATCGATGCCATTGTCAGCACTGCGTATTCTCATCAAAGAACATTCATTATGGAAGTTATGGGTCGTCATTGCGGGTGAGTCAACTGTTTATACTTTATTAACGAAATATTCAAGATTTTTATATCTAAAATAAACGATCGGAAATATAATTATGTTTCAAAAGGATTTGACATTTCAGCAATAAATATTCCTAATTTATAATATTTAATAAATTAAACAACATCTGTCTCCCTATATTATTCTTTACAACTCTGACCGACTTTTGGATAGGTATTTGGCAATTGTCGGAGCTTTAGCGGCAGAGGCAGACTTTGTTTTCTGCCCAGAATCACCACCTCCCGCCGACTGGCCTGATAAATTATGTAGAAAATTGGAGCAGGCACGTTGTTTAGGAATTTTCTAAATTTGTTGTTACCGTGTTGTTTCCTCCTAACTTAATTTAACACAATCCACGATATGTTTCCATTTTCTATGTATTTTTCGCCACTTAATTCTGTTGTCAGTGTTATATTTATTCCTTCTTACAGTTAAACATAAGATCAAACGATTGCGAAACTTTATTTTAGTTAGCTTCTCAGTATGAACATAATAAGAAAAAGTAAAGACTTTCAGGTATCTGACATTAGCCTCGAGTTTATCTTCAGAAGCATGTTATTGCTTTATACCCGAAGCACCGCCGACAGATGATTGGATCGAGGAAGTTTGCAAAGCTGTGCAACAGGCACGTCCTTGATCAATCATTATACATTCCTTAATAAAACATGCTTTTACCTACATACGTATAATACAAGACTTATTGGCCAGACTTTATTGTATTTAATTTTCATTTACATTAAAAGTGTGTCTGCTCCTTTACCAAAACAGTTCGTTTATGCAGAAAAATAAAAGTATGTTAGTTTCCGACCAATTAAATTCACATTTCTGTAATGTTTTATCAGTAATATCATGTTTTTTTTCTTGTACGTTTATACTTGTCATCAGCCTAAAATGAAAATCGTTATTTTACCGTACAATAGTTACTTCCGTGTTTATGCAATCTAATATTTTTAGCTAGCTTTTATAACATACTATTACAGTTACCTGGCTCTAGTGGCAGCCATTTGTTGCGAAGCTGATTTTGTGTTCATCCCAGAGTGGCCACCTGAACAAGATTGGCCAAACAAGCTGTGCAAAAAGTTATTACAGGTTCGCAGATTCTTTTTTTTTTTTTTTCAATTTTTTAAACGGTTCTACATACAATTATCTACATATTTTATCGCTTGGTAATATTGCAATCGCATAAAAAATCTTTACCCTAAATTTACGATCTTCCTGTTTAATTAGTAAGAGGAGAAATGTTAGATATTTTAATTTTAGTTTAGTTCGCTTGATCGTTACGGTAAGCTTTATAGTGTGCTTGTAGATTTATTTTGCGCTTTCTTCAAATATAAGATTATGCTTGTTTATTAAATAATTATATATGTACGTTGTTTACGTATTTTGAAATTTAACTAATTGAATGTTTGGCATGTTTGTGAAAGATAAGTTTGAACATTAATATCAGAAACTTTCGTATCATTCTTTCTTTACCTTTTTTCATCTATTTTACAATTACTCCATTTATTTATTATATCTTCGATTTAATTCCTCACGAATTGAATTTAGTTTTTAAATCGACCTTTATTACTTATCTTCATGGCTTTACCTATTTACACCATTCCCAAAAAATGTTTTAACATCATAAAATGTATTTTCCAGGAAAGACTTACTGGACAACGACTTAATATTATTATTGTAGCGGAAGGTGCTGTAGATAGAAATGGCCAACCAATTACTGCTGAAAAAGTTCATCAAGTTGTCGTGGACAAACTTCAGCAAGATACCAGAATTACGGTTCTCGGTCACGTCCAAAGAGGTGGTAATCCGTCAGCTTTTGATAGAGTTCTGGTTAGTTATTTCACGGACTTATACATTTTCCTCGATAGTATACCGAATACAAGAAGCATTACATTAATTGAACGATAACGTGTAGGGTTGTCGAATGGGTGCAGAAGCGGTAATGGCATTGATGGAAGCAACACCGGACACTGAAGCATGTGTCGTTACACTGGATGGCAATCAAGCCGTTAGATTACCTCTCATGGAGTGCGTTCGTCGTACTAAAGCGGTAGCACAAGCTATGGCTGATAAAAATTGGGAACTTGCTGTACAACTTCGTGGAAAGTATGCTAAAATGCTGAGAATTTCATCCTATATATATATATATCATCCTATATATATATCATTCGGTGCAATCATTCTGTTATATTTGATTTTACAAATATTTTTAGGGGCTTTGCTCGTAATCTGGAAACATATAAGATGTTAACTCGTCTGAAAGCACCTGTGGACCACGACCCGCGTAAGGTACGTTGTTAAAATTATGCGTATAGCAACGATTAATACGAACTGAAAGCCTTCTATCAAAATTTTGAACATACGATTATTAGAATAGTACAGTTCGATATATATATAACATGAAACATGTAATAAAGAATAGAAAACGCCTGAAGGTTTTTAGTTCTAGTATATATAAAAGTGGAAACTTATTTTTATTACATCTGTTATTTAATACTGCTGCAGGAAAGTAATGGCCCCGCATTAACAAAGGTAAATCTGTTGAAAAAAGAACCATAAATGTATACATCTGTTTGCTGAATATTCAATTTTGCCTTGTGACAACACACAGCCTTTTTAACATTTCTGTCCTTTCCTTCTCAATTAGCAATTCACTTTATGTAGACAAGTGAGTTAACCAACTTCTGAATCTTGATGTCATTGTATAATTTTTTTCTTTTTTCTTTTTTTTTTTTTTCTTTTTTACCAGTAACAATTGTTTTTATTAGGATGGAAATAAACATAAGCATAGTGAAAATCATAATATCAAACATTACGTGAAACTGCAGAATGCATTTGTTTTCTGCATATGCACGCTGCATGAATTATCATGAAATTCCTGCAGAATTTTAACACAAAATTTCATTGCAGGAACATTACACTTTAGGTGTAATGCATATAGGATCGCCTTCTTGCGGTATGAACGCAGCGGTGCGTTCCTTCGTTAGGAACTGTATCTACCGAGGTGACAAGGTATCGTCGCATCTAATTATTATCAATTTGCGTACACGGTGAGATACAGTGACTCTCATGGTATAAGCTTTTTTTTTTTTTTTAGGTGTACGGTATTTGCGACGGAGTGTTAGGCCTTATGGCTGGAAAATTCAAATTAATGGATTGGCCTTCTGTCACCGGTTGGGTAGCACAAGGTGGTGCTTACTTAGGAACTAAGCGTTCTCCACCCAAAGAGGACCAGCTGCCGCAGATTGCTCAGAAACTTAAGGAATATGGAATTCAAGCAGTGCTTATCATAGGAGGATTCGAGGTAATGTTCAAGTTATACCTTTCGGAATAATCGATTTTTTATTATAATATACTACGGTTGTTTAAAGGGCTACCAAACCGGACTTACCTTTGTCAAAGCTAGGGACAAGTTTGAAGAATTTCGAATTCCGATTGCTATGATTCCGGCAACTATTAGCAATAATGTTCCAGGAACCGAGTTTTCGTTAGGTTGTGACACTGCTTTAAATGAAATTACAGAGGTAGGCTTCTGGTGTGCCTGCCAGTACCGAAATGTATTCGTAGAAAGTTTAACTCAAACTATTAACTATTTCCCTTGGTGGGTGGATACTGCGGTTATTTAGCCACGGTCGCTGGATTAGCCGGAGGAGCTGATGCAGCCTATATTTTCGAGGAGAAGTTCAATATCAAAGATTTGAATCAAGATGTCATTGCGATGGCTGCAAAAATGTCTGAAGGTGTACAGAGAGGTCTCATTCTACGAAATGAGAATGCTAACTTGAATTACAACACAGATTTTATGCAGAGACTCTTTAGCGAAGAAGGAAAGGGTCTGTTCAGCTGTAGGATGAATATTATTGGTAGGTGGCTTGATAATTCGTTAATTTTTCATGGCACTTGAAGTAACGGTAAATTACGAATTGGAAAATTTATTATAGGTCATATGCAGCAAGGTGGCTCGCCTACTCCATTTGATCGAAATTTGGGTACAAAAATGGGTTCAAAAGCCGTCGACTGGTTCACCGAACAATTCAAAAAATACTCTACTGCTGGTAATAAAGTAAGCACGATGGACGCTGATAGTGCAGTAATGATTGGTATTGTACGAAGACAGTACAGATTTACACCGTTTACAGACCTTCTTGAAGTTACCGACTTCGAGTAAGTAACACCACACACACATACACGTGTGTTCTTCTTCATCGAAAGGTTTAGCTAATATTTTATAAATTTCTTAGGCATCGCATTCCAACATATCAATGGTGGATGAAATTGCGTCCACTACTCAAAGTTTTAGCGAAACACGAGTCTACGTACGAAGAAGAAGGACTCTATATTACCGTAGAAGAAATGGATCTTGATAACGATCCCCTTGTCTAAGCTAGAAATTACATGTACGCGGTGAAAGGTAATGCTCCATAAAATATGCACTGTTAATTGTAGATTTTGTTAAACAGTATTGTACGGCATTATGATAATCATGTTCCGTTGTCATTTGTGAGAAAAGAAGATGCGATCAAACGTTAGATGAGAACACAATCGTAGAATATAATGTTCTGCGAGATTTAATACAGATTAAGTATTTTGACGATCGGTGTGAAATCGTAATGTATACGTAATACGTATACCCTTCGTTTGTACATTCGGTTACTCGATAACAAAACGTGCGCTTATGACTTAATTCTTTGAATGCGAACTGTTTGGATAAATAACAAATATTATTGGACACTATTGTCATAATCGAGGATATAGAATAATATTTTGTTTAAAAAATACCGAATTACACACACTCACGCGCGCACGCCCGCCGTACACACACGTATATTTAACTATACATATTTTGATTGCGACTTAGTGTCAAGGGAGGGAAGCAGGTACGAAGATAGTACCTGAAACGTGGAGGTGAAGCTATATCTTAGTAATGTAAGAAAGAAGTAGTAGGACATTTTAATGGCATTTTCATTGGTAACAACTGATGATTATATTGTTATACTGAATGGTGTTAAATATTTATTCCATTTGAAAGTAGATCAAACGGGAGTATAACTATTAACTTAATGTACAGCGTTTAAATGTTATAATATAATCAAGAAGCAGTCAAGGTGTAACAACGTAATGACATTCAAATACGATGATAAAGATGAATGCAATTAACGACGTTAATCTCTCGATACGACGTTCGAGTCCACTAGCTTCCAATCTTAGATTTCACGAACATTTTTAACACAAATTACGATTGGTAGCAATCGTATAATAATTCCATTGCAATTATATGAAGTTTAAAAGTGCATGAAATATTTGATACTTAATGTGTTTTCTTCTAGCTTTAAAAGAAATTTGTTAGAATAGCAACGCTTTTAGAAGGTATTGTACTCTGCCCATGGCGAAATTTTCGTTCGCAACGTGAATTATTACAAATCGAATTACAGCTTTCTTCATAGCTACTTTACTATTTCGCACGTAAATCTACTAGGCTATATTTTTGTGGTCTACTAAAACATAAAATTAAACATAAGGTCGCATTTTTCTTTGATGGAACCTTATCATTTGGTTTAGCTTTACCTATAGCTATGGAAAGCTATTCGAAGAATATACTTGTCTACCTCAAAACATAATTTGCAACGATGAACGATACTTAGGGCGAACTAAAGACCTAAATCGTATTAGTTGCACGTAACGTTAAAAGGTTTTGCTAAGATTTAAGGCTTGTGACCACACAAGAGTATTTAGATGTAATTCGTGTTATTATTATACTCGTGTATTCTCTCATATATTCACCTCGACAAGTCGTACAGATATTAAACTCGCAATTGTTTTCTCCAACGTAGGAATTCATTATTCCATGTGAATTTTTTCGATATAAACACCATCGTAACATCTTACCAATTCATTTATCTTTAAACTCTTGACTAATATCCTTGAGACGAGATAATATTATCGACAGTTTGCTGATACACTTAAGAAACGCATGGAGAAGATTTTCAAGGTGAACTAACCGAGACACGTCCATTTAATAGAAATTACGGTCTATGCGTTAATCAACACTGTTACTGCACAATATCAAAGAACTGTTTCACCTCTTGATTAGCATATTTCACATTTCCAAATGAAATCATTTTCGCGTAACACAGTGTGTGAGATTTTGGTGAAATGATCAGAATAATTCGATAGGAATAGCAAGGTTTTTACGGCTCACGAGAGATCTCTTCTGAGAAACAATAATTCTAGCACGTGGGGCGAAATCTCACGATTACCAACAGATTCTGGTAAGATTTGCGAGCAATTCAGCCCCACTGATGAGCAAAGGGATGCATAACCAGGAGACTTTAATGGAACTTTAACAATATGTATCTCTTCCATGATAAAACTAGGGGCAGGATTAAATAAGAGTCTGTCGTTCTCACGATAATAACATAGAACAGTGCATGCAAAGTACAATATAGTATAATATACTTGTCATTGAGTCCTAAACTAGGCTAGTAAAAGAAAATTACTTGTGTGTATATAAGGAAGGAGTACGTATATTGCTTGTTCAAAATTGTTACTAGAGGTGCAAATCGTTTAGCAAGATGCTAAGACAATAGATGTTGTTAACGAACGTATAAATGAAACGATATTGTTCAAGATAAATCAAAGTATTTATCTGTGAAGAGAGGATCCTCGAGAGGGCTATAAAAAGAAATTGAAAGATTTCCTCTTTGCATTGCCTTCATAAATTCTTAGTACGATTAATTAAAAACGTAAACATTCACATCGTGAGGCCTAATCAACGTCAACAGAATTTGAACTGCACTTGTACGTGTATTATTATGTAGTTCACGAGTATTGGTCGGTCATGAGCGCGCGATCGAGTAGGATTGTGTCGTAGAATTGAATAATTCCTGAAAGTTTCGAGCAGATCCGAGTATCTGTCAACGGTCTTGATTGGCCAAAACTCGCGAATTTATGCAATAGAATGTCTACCAAAAGTAAAGCCGAGATGGGGGTCTGCCTCTGCGTGTAAAATTATAATTGTCGTACACACGTGTGTACGCGCATAGATGTATTTTGTACAGCTTCATGTGCAAATTTCGAATTTTATCGTATATCATATGTGTTCACTTAAGTGCATAAGAGCAAATAATCCATGTGCTCCTTTGTTGATCACACTGATACAAACATATAATGTACAAATACCTACACAAGCGTTAATATCATACCACTAACGATTAACTAATAATATAATGAAGATATAACGTTCGAATAGTATTATTTTTACGATTACAGAGATATATTTTCGACTCGTTGTTGATCAATGAATTTTACACTTTATCTCTGGCATAATATACATACTAAATGAAATCCAGAAATTATTTTGTTCCGACATCGAATTGTTGTTGAATATGTATTTTCACTTTACCGTCGCAAACTATTAGTATATTTATTTATCGATAAATATTTAATGTTTCATAAAATTACTTGTGGTAACCTGCACAATTTTCAATGAGCAAATGCATATGATTATGTATAAAGATATCATGACCACTGAAAATGTACCTAATGCTATCAATAAAGTGTATCTTATAAACTTTCCCTTCGTATCGTTACATACTATTGCCGATATGTTCGTTAATTTTGTCCACGCATGTGTATTACCGCTAAGAATTTTAAACGGGGCATCATTGCGATTACGTATCACAATCTTCGTCGCGTTTGAAAACAACAGCATGTCCGTATAACGATACGCAAAGTTTCAATAATAGAAACCATTGTCATAATAGCAAAGAAAAATCAATCTTTCGGATGATAGGACAAGAACGTTGAAAATATACGAACATTGATAACTTTAATAAATGTTTTCGATGCTATACTGATTTGTGCGGTAGTGTGTAATTGGTTATATTTGTAAAGCACAAACAGAATCATAATTTGTAAAATATCAAAGTTAATTAATAGTTATCGAATACAACAAGCTCGGTACTATTGAACGTTCGAGTGATACGTTTATATATTATATTGAAAATTTATAACATACGATAACGTTTTAATTCCTGTAACGTATTTACAAAGTTACGCATGATTAATTAACCTTCCATTTTGCTCATTAGAAATGCGCCATATTCTGTGTTTTAAGACTTTGTAGTTGCAATAGAAACTAGCTGAAGTTTTGCGTAGGAATTGCGTACGTAGTTTCTTGCGATAGCCGGCGTATCAGTAGATTGGCGGTTTATTTCTGCTTGTTGTTCGAAGTTTAATAATTAATTAAGTAATTAATTATAGGGTAGCGAGAATTTAACGATTAAGAGTAAGGAAAAGGAAAAGAGACGTAGAAAGTTACTTTAATCGATACACCGTGATAAAAAGAAATGATTATCGTTGAATATATTTTTAAGCGGTTTTAAGAGTCGAAAATGGCTAGGCGAAAAAGTTTAAACAAACGTTTATCTAGATACAATAGACGCAGTGCTGGTTCTGCTATTCTAGATCCCGATACGGAAACTTTGGGCTCTGGTATGTTTATGTTGCATGATTTTCCGTAGGTTAGATTTTATGTCATAAATCGAAATACGTTACGATACTAGCCGCCACTTTTCAGAATATCCATATTGGTGGAAAAATGTAGAAACTGACACAATAGTACGACCATCCGCAGGTTCAAGTATATTAAATCAGACAAGTCGTCATTTAAATTCTGACTCAGAAATAGAAGCAAGCCAAGTTGGGAATGAATGGTGGAAGGTGTTGGAAGGTTCGAATATGTCAGATTTATTAAAAATAAAAATGAACGTTAAGACTGCTGAAAAAGGTACGGATGCTAGATCTACAAGTTAAATCTTACAAAATTATTTAGTATTAATTAGAATGTTTTATTAGGTGCCGCTAATAACAACAATACACCAACGTCAGAGTCTGAAGAAGAAGTGAAAAAAGCAAAAACAAGGTTTACAGTGCATTCAAAAACAAAAAGGGACAAAAGTAATGTTTTTTTAAATGCTTCGAACGATTCTGCAGCAACAACTACAACTGAACTTGGGCAAATAGAGAAAAGAAAAAGTTGTACGGCAGTTGCTAATTTGAAGCGTATAAACAAACTAGGGGAAAATAGTTTGAATCAAAGCGAAAAAAGCAATGAAATTTTAAAGTCAAAGCCTAAAATATTTCATAAAAAGTATGGAAATAAAGATAAAAATGTATTTTTGGATATATTAAAAGAAAGCAAGTTAGAAACTTCCTCAAAGGCAAAGAGTAATAATAAGTTGCAAACAGCAACAGAAGCTCCGGTGGAGCCAGATCACTTTGCATTATCTTTCAAGAATGAAAATGTTATTCCACATTTGCCTGTACCTAAAGCACAAAGTACAATACTAAAAAGTAATACTTCATCTGGACATAGTAACAAGAGTAGCAATAATAGCGATATAGCTGATAAAGTACTGAAAAGAAAGTCTAAATTGTTAACACGTCATAACGAAGGAAATGTGAAAAGAAATCTATTTGAAAATGCATTTGAAGACCTAGAATCGACCGGCGAAGTAAGAAAAAGCGAGTTCGTTGGTGAAATTCTCGAAGAATCTGTAAAATCTTCAAGAATCTCTGAAGCATCGGGAAAAAATGTTGGAGAGAAACACGAACGCGCAACTTCACCAGTGCAAAATGTTAATCTATTTAGCAAAAGCAACATATTGGCCAATACTTGTGCTACATCGAGTGATACATCCGATCTAAGCCGAGATTCTAGGCGCGTTTCAAAGTCAAAGACAAAATTTTTCACCAGGCCACGCAAACATCAGGCGCAGAATCGTTTTCAGAACATATTCGAAGAAAGCGACGATATCGATGTGTTTGCAACATCTAAAGCGAAGGTTTCGTTAAATCTACCAGAAGAAGAAAATTCCGCGTTGAATAATATCGAGTTTGTTCAATTGGGAAACGAAAGAGAGGGAGATGATAGTGAAAGCAGCAAAGAAAGTATATACTTATATTGGAAATCGTCAAACACTTGGAGCGACGTAGGAGTTTCGGAAACAGCGGTGGATAATCTTTCCACGAATAAAGCAGAAGATAGAAGAAGCTCGAAAAGACGTTCGGGCAGATTAGATAGCTTGCACAGGCAACTATTTTTGCACGGTGCGAGCAAAGTATCGGAACAAGAAGATGTTGAAACGAGTCGAAGAAGGAAAAGCAGGAATAATATGGAAAATGAACCAGCTGAAGCTACCCATGTTTCTCCAAGGCGAAGCGTTCATTCGAGAGAAGATAAAAGTGTACCGCGACAGAGTAGCAGGAAGAAAAGTAGAACCTGGAAAGAATCAATTTCCCCTGTTGAAATAGAGGAGGATGTACCAGTCGAAAGCGAAGAAGATATCTCGAAGAGGCGAAGCGATCGTTTGAGCAAATCGAAGAAGCATTCACTTCGACTATTTGAGAGTGAGACCGAAGCAGAAGAAACTGAAGTGGATAGTCCGAAAGAGAGTAGCAGGAGGAAAAGTGGAACGCAGAAAATATCGGTTTCCCCTGCTGATATAGACGACGATGTACCAGTCGAAAGTGAAGAAGATATCTCGAAGAAGCGAAGCGATCGTTTGAGCAAACCGAAAAAATATTCACTTCGACTTGTTGAGAGTGAGACCGAAGCAGAAGAAACTGAAGTGAATAGTCCGAGAGAGAGTAGCAGGAGGAAAAGTGGAACGCAGAAAAAGTCAGTTTCCCCTGTTGAAATAGAGGAGGATGTATCAGTTGAAAGTGAAGAAGATATCTCGAAGAAGCGAAGCGATCGTTTGAGCAAGTCGAAAACTGTGAGTAAGACCGAAGCAGAAGAAACTGAGGTGAATAGTTGGAAGGAGAGTAGCAGGAGGCAAAGTATTCCACGGAAAGAATCAGTTTCCCCTGTTGAAATAGAGGAGGATGTACCAGTCGAAAGCGAAGAAGATATGTCGAAGAGGCGAAGCGATCGTTTGAGCAAATCGAAGAAGCATTCACATAGATTTATTGCGAGTGAGATTGAAGGAAACGAAACTGAAGTAGATAGTCTGAAAGAGAGTAGCAGGAGGAAAAGTGTAACGCAGAAAAAATTCGTTTTCCCTGCTGAAATAGAAGATGACGTACCAGTCGAAAGGGAAGAAGATATGTCACAGAGGCGAAGCGATCGTTTGAGTAAATCGAAGAAGCATTCACATAGACTTATTGCGAGTGAGATTGAAGGAAAAGAAACTGAAGTAGATAGTCTGAAAGAGAGTAGCAGGAGGAAAAGTGTAACGCAGAAAAAATCCGTTTTCCCTGCTGAAATAGAAGATGACGTACCAGTCGAAAGCGAAGAAGATATGTCGAAGAGGCGAAGCGATCGTTTGAGCAAATCGAAGAAGCATTCACATAGACTTATTGCGAGTGAGATTGAAGGAAAAGAAACTGAAGTAGATAGTCTGAAAGAGAGTAGCAGGAGGAAAAGTGTAACGCAGAAAAAATCCGTTTTCCCTGCTGAAATAGAAGATGACGTACCAGTCGAAAGCGAAGAAGATATGTCGAAGAGGCGAAGCGATCGTTTGAGCAAATCGAAGAAGCATTCACATAGACTTATTGCGAGTGAGATTGAAGGAAAAGAGACTGAAGTAGATAGTCTGAAAGAGAGTAGCAGGAGGAAAAGTGTAACGCAGAAAAAATCCGTTTCCCCTGCTGAAATAGAAGATGACGTACCAGTCGAAAGCGAAGAAGATATGTCGAAGAGGCGAAACGATCGTTTGAGCAAATCGAAGAAGCCTTCGCTTCGAAGCACTAGGGAGACACCTGAAAAGGAAGACGGTGAGAATAGTCTGCTGCGGAGGAATATTAGTCAGAATAAAGTGTTAAGGGCATCAGTTTCGTCTGTTATGGAAGGGAATGGAAGAACGAGAGCTTCGAAAAGTATTTCGAAGGGAGAAAAGGAAAGTTTGGACAAAGCAGGAAAAAGACGGACGTTGAGTAGCAGAAAGGAATCGGAACCGGAGGAAGGTGAAAGCACGGCGGCGAAAAGGCAAAAAAGAAGTTGGAACAGATCGGTTTCGAATATCGGCATAAATGAAACTGATCAAGATGATAATACTAAGAGAAGGAGCAATCGTGGGAATATATCAGAGAAGCAAGCGGATAGTAGTAAGCTTGCTGGCGAAAGTCAAGACGAGAATTTAACCGTACGGAAAGAAAGGAAATCAGTTGTAGATAAATTGAACGTAGAAAAAGTGAAAGAAGATGCGAACAGAGAGAGTAAAGGTTTAAATAGCCCAGCAAAAGGACGAAGAAGTACGAAGAAGAAGTCTAAAACACGATTTAGCAGTTTGAATTCGGATACTGTTAACGATAGAAGAGATATAAGTATTTCGAAGGTGGACGACGATAACGATGTAAAGGAACGGGAGGAAAATGCTTGGAACGTGTCTCACGAGAAAGGAATAGAAAACGAAGCGGCGCGTACCAGTAAGGGGCAACACGTTTCAGGGAGTCCGAGCGGAGTGTCCGGTAAAATGTTGAAAAGCAACGTTTCGAAAGGGCAGAAAAGTATCAAAAGCTTCTTCGATTCGGTTAAAAGGTTACCACCGTCGCTGGAGCTTGAAAAGGAGGGAACGGTAGCAGAGATAAATAAGAAATTGGAGAAAGTGAAAGAATGGGTGATGGTTGGCGTGAACACGGGGAAAAATAAAGATGAGAGAGAGGGATTGGCGAGAGGGAAGAAAGTGAAGGAGGACGGTGAGAAGAGGAAGAAGGTGACATCGGAAAAGCAGCGGCCAGCAGCGAAACAAATTCACAAAGCCTTCTTGGTGAACGGGCAAATGTACAGAGTGCCACGGCTTCCCCGTCCGAAGCACTGGATCACGGATCGTCTCTACAAGTACCTGTGGAAACGCCTGGAACCGAAGTACAAGCTGCAAACGAGAGTGGTGTCTGAAAAATTTATCATCCAGTTGTCGAACGTAACGACGTTAATCGCGAAGCATAAATCGTACGAGAAATACAAAGTGGAACTGTTGGCGTTGATGAAAGAAATGGCACGGCTCGATCTGATTCGTACTCGAAACGATTTTTATAATTTTTGCCACGAGTTCTTTCCGTACGAGCTTCGCATTAAGACGATGCCAATGCTGTTGCCGGGAAACGAGATAAATATACCGTACGACGCGAGTACGTTACACGTGCCCCTTTTGCGCATCTTGATTACACATTCCTTTTCTTTATTTTCAACGATAATGTATTCAACGACAAAATTTGAATAGGATCGAATAAAAGTATATTTTTCTATTTTTCTGATCACACAAGTGTCGGTATTCCAGCTGTGTGGAAATCGGGGTGAAATGGCGCGTGTGAGGTATGCACGGCGAAGTTTCCCACGCGGCTGACACCCCAAAGGATTAACGCCACTTCCCTTTTTCAACGCGGCAACTACATTCGGGCTTTGTGCGCACAGGTATGCACTGGTACGTACTGGTTCGATTTGTCTTGCTATCGATAAGAAATCCGTTTCGTTCCGTTCGTTCCGTTCGTTTTATATCCGCCCTGTGTCCGCCCCTGCAATCGCATCGCGTTTATCGTTAAGAGCGTTTCGATGAAATTTTACCGGCTATTTCTGTCGCACGAACGCGTGACGAACATCACGATCACGGTTTTACAAATATTTGCCGGAAATCGAGCGTGGAATGAACGTAACACGCCGCTTGAGCAATACGTGACACGATCAAAAGAACGAACAGACACAGATAGTAAAGAGCAGCTCTTTCCAATTTACGTAACGTTACTCTGTAGTTAAAGACAAATAGATTTCCCTCCCCGTCGTAAACCTGTCGCGTTCGGTCGTATTGGAGAAAACGAAAGTTTTAATTAACCGAACGAATCTGACCGAGTCTCGTTTGAAGTTCAATCTCTAATGGAACGACCGTCGCAATTAGGCGAGACTTATTTTACGCGCACCACCTCCTATAGTACGTAATGTTTGAACGAGCGTTCACCGTACGGGGGACACGTGACGCGGCACGCGCCGCTCGTTATTCCATCGCTATCGGCGATTGTTTCCCCTTATTTAATCAAAATTGCAAGTTGCCTATGTTTTCGGAAGGGAGAAGACAGGTTGGATCTCTATCAACCGATGTATCCTTTTCTCCGTATCGATCGGTTTACTTGGCGATTAAAGTACTACGCGTACAGTGGGAGGGAGAGTCGTCGAAGCGCGTTCGAATTGCGTTTAACCGAAGTGAAAAAAACGAGTGGCTACACGCTCCTGTCGGAAATATTTGCCACGTGCCAGGCTGATTTAGTTACTTTGCTTGTTCGAATATAAGAAGATTGACGTATGACGCATCTTAGCAGCAACTACGTATATATTTTTCATAGTTTTCTTTTGTAACAAATCGTTTGGTTATTTGACGGATGGAAGTTGGACTGGTGCAAGAGTACATACATACATATGTATATCGGATGCTGAACTAGTTTAAGGACATGGTGAAACGCAGGTACGTTTAAAGTACTTTGGTTGACGTGAGCAACGTTGGATGGTGGTGGTCTTGCTTCCTTTTTTCCTTTCTTCTGGACTGCGTTCAATTTCTCGGTAGCGAATATCGGCGAGAAAAATCGATGGAAAATGTAGCTAGAATGTTAGGACAGTTATGAGTTCTCTGTGGGCAGATCGAGGCAGAGAGTGGCACGTGGCGACATCAGGGCATCAGGGAGACGGTGGCCGCGTGTCGTCGCGTGTCGTCGCGTGTCGTCGCGTGAGAACAACTTGGCTCACACGCGTTACCTCGCGCACGTGCGTACTCGATACCCATTGCGCCTAGGTTCGCGTATACGCATGCGTACGCGCGGCCGCGCCACGCGCCACGCGCCCAACACGCTCCGATTTTCCATTTCTTAATCGATCCCGATAACGATAAACGACGCTATTCTCTCGTCCCTCTCTGCTACTCTTCCGACTTGCTAATTGTGCAAAAATCGATTTACCCATTTTTAACGAAATACCTATCGTTTAATGTCCGCGTTCATTTTCATCGATTTTTCACCCTCGTATTCCCAATGGACGAACCATGTATCATTCGTGCATAGCCGTGACGTTCCAATCACTCGCTTACGTTTGATGGTAACTTTTTGAAAAACGTCGACTCGGTGTTGATCGAAAAAGAGTAACATCCTCGAGTATGTTAAGACGGTAGGAGAGAGAGAGAGAGGTGTAATGTGCGCGTAAGCAAGAGGGGCGAAAACGATGGGAAAAAAGTGAAATTGGTTTACAAAGTCCTCTGTACGGAAGTAGTACGCGACGAGTGGTTGCGCGGCGGTGGTGGGGAGGGTTCGTACGGTACGGCATGGTACGATAAGATCGGGCTAACCGAGGTGATAAATAGGACGGTGCACCGCTTCGGAGCGGTATTTGGTCGCGTGACACCGTGGCGTGCGTATCGATTCGCAATTGGTCGGTGGGCACGGAGAGGGCTAGCACCGTCCAAAAATCAATCTTGTGTCGCATACAATTTTCGTTGCGATCGAAACGAAGGAGTGTACCTTTGAAATACGCTCGACTCTGCTCCCTGTCGTCGATATGTTGAGAAAATTGCTGAGCAAATCTGGTCGTAGACTCCTCAGGGTAAGCTGACGACGATAATTATTCTTTCGCACACACGCACGCACGCACGCAGGCACGTTTCTGGCGCATTCACCCAATTTCTCAGCCTCCGCGTTAACCTAGTCGCACTATTCGGTTCTCGTTATTTCGCGATCTCGCGAAAACTGTTTGTGAAAGGCCGAGCTTTCCTTTTCGATTCGTTTCACTGCTATTCGACTGGGACGCTATTAACGTTAATTTGCGTACAGCGAATAATTCGCGAATGCTTATGTAGCGGGGCGTTACTTGTATTTGCAGGCAATCAAGAAATTGTCGACGAGAAGTCACAAGGCGAAAAAGTCAGGAAACTTGACCTCTTGGCACTCGGCCATACCGGAGTTGGAGACGGCGTCTCTCTCGTGGTCCTTGCCGTCTCTGGACGCGAAAAGCATCGACACGTATACGACCTACGTGGCGGAGAATTCGGAGGATTGCATCTCGATGTGTTGCTACTGCGACGAGTACGAGGAGAACCAGCGGAACGAGAACATAGAGAACGAGATGATGATCTAACGAGGCAGGCGACGTCACGATCTCCGCTTTACAAACCCACCTGTCGCGAGAACATCGACGAAACCCATCGACGAAACCCATCGACGAGGAGCTGAGAGAACCTCGACAATCCGTTCCACCAAATATGACGTAGCTGTGCACGTTCGAATACTTTTTTCATCTGGTTGTATCTTCACGTCGTAGATAGTTTCTTTTAGTCTGTATAACGCAACGAACCTCCTACGAGATTACATAGTAGATAAGTACGTCGGCACGTTTGGATGGTTAACCCGACCGTGGCCGTATTTTCTTGTACACGTTGAAAGGTATTATTTTTTAGCTGTCGCGGTCTTCCGAAGAACGACTACGTATGTATCGTCATACGTGATATCTAACTACGTAAATAGTTTGCAAGCACTTATTTATTTGGAATTTCGATCTCGCAATTCGATTTGCAATTTCAACTATCGCGATCCTAGCGTAAGAATCTTTTGTATGGTAAGGGTTGCAGAGCACCGTTGCCTCTGCATGCGAACGTAAGTACATACTATAGGTAGGCTGAGCGATGCGCGCGTGTACATAGTTGTATATATGTAAGTATGTATGTCCGACGAGGCTGTGACTTTTTAACTGGATAGGAATGTCGTAAATAAAATAGTTTTATCGACGATTGCCCGTGTGTGTTCCCATGACCCACCCTTGTCGTACGGTGGTCGATCGGTGGAAAGGGGAGGAGAATTAAGCGCGATAATTGGACGGTTCGCCGGGAACAATGGCCACGTGTCCGCGGTCCATTATTCCTTCTCGACAATTAGCTTCACTCCCCGTGGATAAGACCAGCAGCCGTGGCTAACTGTCCTTCGTTAGCGAATTTCCGATTTTGCGGATGAGGTTGGTGAATACCTCTTTAGGTGAATACCTCGAACGAGTGGCGAAACTGGTTTCCTTTGTTTCTCCCTAAGCGAGAGCAATAGTTTACCGTGGCAAGCTGCAAACTGTGAATCTTTGCATAAGAATAGTTAATACTTTGCCGCGTTATACGTAGACACGACGCGTGAGAATAGAGAGAGGGTGGGGAGTTGGAGTAGGTGGAGCAGGGGAGTAGGGAGGAGCAGATCGGACGGAAAATCAACAGGCTGTCGTTTCTTTCGACCACTTATCGTTGTTTTATTGCAAATCTCTATTGCAAAAATATTTGAGCGTTTGTTCACGTAGCGGTAGAAGGTAGCGGCGATTGAACGTTTAATGGCACTTGTCCGACGCTTTAGAAGGTTACACACGTAAGTACATATGTATCGAACGATAAGTACGAGAGAAGAAATAAAAAGATAGAAAATAGTGTTATTTACAATAATACGTTTACATGTTATATACACACGCTGTACAAGATGGCTGCTCGTAAAGCGAGAGTCGAGCCGTATAATAGATAATATCTTGTTGGATCGCGATCGTCAGTAGGCCAATTCAGCACCCCAGGGCCTGTACGGTTTTCCGTGCTGCTGCTGCGGATACTGTCCCGGGTACTGGCCCCATCCGAGAGCTGTTCCACCTAGAAGTGGCGGCACGGGAGTGCCGGGGGTGCCGGCTGGCATTCCGGAGCTCGCCGGCTCGTAGCTGGTGCCCGACGTGGTGGTCGTCGGTGGAAGGGACGCGGTTCCCGCCGCGGGGGGATGTTCGCGATGGAAGCTTTGCAGGTGAGAGAGCAGTCGTAGCCTGAGAGGATCTCTCTCGTCGAGACCTTCCATCGTGACCAAGTAGCGACCAACTTCGGCGGCGCATTCGCCCCAGCCCACCGCGTGATAGTCCATCGCCAGCTTGGTGCTGTCGTAACCCTCCGGACCTGTGCGATTTCGAGAGAAATATAGGCATGGAAATATAGCCTGTCCACTGGGACAGGTAGCGTGGGAACGGTGTTTGGGAGGAGGAGAAGAAGAAGAGATATACTGTATGTAGGTGTTTGGAGGGGAAGAACGTTTCCCACAGGGTTCGACATCTGCCCCAGCCGTGGGCAACTCGCTGCCTCCTTGACGAAGGGTGCCGCGCGGGACACCCCACCCTACTACTACCTAACTCGCCAGCAATCGTGGGAACACCACTTCGGAGGAGTCGTTGACTTCCTGTGCGATTCAGCCGGTCGCAGCACCTGCTCTCTCGTAGGATGTACGTCGCGAGATAGGAGGAAGTTCCGGAGGAAGCTCACCTTTGTTTCGAAGGGTTCGGAGATGCTCGACGGTGAGCTGCAAAATCTCCGCCTTTTCCAATTTCCCGCTGTGAGGATCCCTCGCCGCTGCGGGTACCAGTCTCCGCAGCTCGCCGAGGGACGCGTTGATTCTGTCGCGACGTTTCTTCTCGATCATCCCCCTTCTTCGTTTTCGCGACGCGTGCTGACAGGAATCGCCTCCCGGCGAATTGCACCTACGGCGAAAAAAGAGAATCTCGGTAGGTACGGAACCCTTTCGGGAACAATGAACGTTTAATTACCGCGTCGTTCGCAGTTCGAAAGGACATATGTGCGCGATACTAGGATAAAAGACGGACGGTGGGGTCCAAGTTTAAATCGAAACTTACGGTTCTTTGCCACTCTCCTCGGAGAACACGTCGTCGCAGTCGGAATCGCTCATGGTCCTTTTCAAACTTCTCTGTTGCTGCGACGCTTGTTGCTGCTGCTGCTGCTGCTGCTGCTGCTGCTGTTGGCCGTTCTCGGCGACGTCGATTTTCAAATCGGGGAACTCGTGACTGGATCGAATCTCTCCGGTGATGTCCGGCCTCATCCCCGTCAGATCTTGATGATGCCTCGGCATTTCTGGCCTGTGCAACTCCGGCGGCTGGAGACGTTGCATCTCGTGATGATGACGCGGCGGTGCATCGGGGTGATAGGAGGGATGAGGCGGCGGTGGATAGCCCCAGTGGTGATGGTGATGATGATGAGGCGGAGCAGGAGGAGGAGGAGGATGACCGGAAGGTCCGACCGGAGGACCGGTGGCGATCTCCGATGACAGCAGCGTGCTGTTTTCGTCCGTGGATCGCGCAACCACCACTCTCCACATTTTCTCTGCGAGTCACGGAGGCACGCACGGAGGACGAACAGATTCTTGAGGCGTAGACGCGTAGAAATCGGCTGGCACGATAAATCCTCATTTAAGAAGCGAGGACGTCCATCTCCGACGAAAGGAAGACGCACCACCACCGAGAGAACGCGGCGTGTGCACTGGTCGCGTGGCGGCCGACGTATGTCGTGTGCGGGAGGACCCGGGGACGACACACGACCGCGTGCCCCGTTTCGGTGGTGGGGACTGGCTGCACCTCCGCAGGGTGGGGGCAACTTGCTAAGGTGAACCGCTGTACGCCAAGGGAGCGGCGGAGGAGGGGGGGGGGGGGTGCGTGCCGCCGTGCGCGGCGATCAAAGGGGGCGATTTTCGTGGGAACGCTCGTGGCGCTTAGCTGGTCGCACGCTCCGCACCCCTACGCTCCCCTCCGTTCCCCTTCCGCTCCTCTCCCGCTCCCCTACTGCACGTTCTAACGGAGATTTCGCAAAATCTCCAGCCCCCGTCGTCTTGGCGACGTGGTTCGGATCGGTGATTCGGAGGTGGTTACCGGAGGCGAGAAGGAGTGAAAGGAGAAGACGGTTGTGGAATCGACACTCCCACGGTGTAGATGACTCGCGGAGGGTGGCCGAATACGAGGGAGGGTGCGATCGCGATAGACCGTTCTCACCAAGCACGCGCTCGCACGATTATCCCTATGGGAACCGACTCGACTAATCGCGCGTCCTTAACTTTTTCTCGCTCGAGCCGGAACCGGGAAATGGGAAGCGGCGCAAGGGCGGAGTTGGTGTCCGCACGCGACTCGCGCACGTGGAGTCGCGTGTGCCCCAACTATCCTTCCTTCTTCGAGTATACGAAACTGACTCCTGCGGCGGTACCACTTGCGACACCGGTATATTTAGATTGACAACTCGGGGTGGACGGTCAAGTCCATCTCGTGGACAAACATTCGTCCGACGATCCCCCGGTGTAAAGCAAACACGCATAAAATTAGACGATCGGCCGGGCGATTCTTTGGAAAACAAACCACTCGGAATTCGATCGGAGCGGTGTACGCATCGAATGGGACGCGTATCGATTTGTTCCGTTGACCATCGACGTTGACAGTTGGCGGCGCGGCACAATCGCCCGATAATTGCTGGATATTGTTCGAAGAGCGCGCGGACGGCCCCGCATATGCCTACGCTGACCGCAACCGTGCTTTACGATTTGTTGCTGCTGCCTCTCTGGAAATATGAATTTATCGCCGATCGCGTTACACCTTTGGCACCCTCCTTTCCCTTCCTTTCATTTCGACATCGATCTCCTAATATTCTCCTTCCTGCTCCACGCGAAAACCTTTCTCCCCGGGCTCTTCCCGAAAATCCACCGAGTCACCGCGCGTCGCGACCTTTGACGGCCCATCTGTGCCTCGCCGATTAATCGACTCTCTCCGATTAACAGCCGGTCAACTCGAATTACCGGCTCGTGCCCGGCGCTGCCGCGTCGAGTAGTGAAGCCTCCTACTTAAACGAACGTAAGTATGTATAGGTTTGTAAAGTCGAACGGGAATGACCGCACCCTAAAATTGAATCCCCATTTAAAAATCACCCCAATCGTCGCGGCGATTCGCCGCGGTTCGCCGCGGTTCGCCGCGGTTCGAGGCGTCTCAATCGAGGAGAGAACAAGTGCGTCGCGGAGCCGTGCTCGCTCGTATATTAAACTATTTTTTTCCCCGTGATTCGAAAAGGTGACAGCTGTCGCAGACGTCCAGCCCGTCTTTCTCTGCGGTTCCGGATCGCGCACCTATCGAAACCTGCGGTTCGTTAACGCTCCGCTTCTTCTCCCTTTCCCGCTTTAGCGCTTAACCAGCCTTCGATCGATCACGCCTCGAAATTTTACAACATCACCGGCTATTGTGCGAATTAACATGCCTTTGATCGATCGTTTTTCAATCGAACTCTGTACTCTACCTACTCTACCGCTTAACCCCATGGGTATACGTATAGCCGTCGATAGGAAATTAACTCCCTGCTTCCCTTTCCGCCCATTCTATTCGAGATTTATCGAGTATTTGTTTTATCAGACGCATCGAGAATTCGAAATAAGAACTCCACCTTGTTTCTTCCCGGGCCGCATAGGGACTGCGCTATTGATAGAAAAACGAATGAATACTATTACCACAGTTCTAAGACGTTTAACGTTTACGCTGCTGTTCCGTACGACAAAAGTTATTTTTCATACGGAACACGTGGCTCACGTTCGGCTCACGTGGAATGTACGGATCAAGAAAATATCGATGCCTAAATAAAAGTTATATTCTATTTTTAAATGATTTTTACTAACGTTTACTAAATTAGACCTTCAAATCTACCAACTAAGTAGCTGGCTGGTACTGCACGACTCTCCCCTACATATGTTTGCTACGTAACGTTGGTTATACCAAGCATATTTATATATACATATACATATATATAAACTCGAACTGTGCCTGTGCGTATTTCCGGCTCGTGTTTCGAAATCGTAGATAGAGGCTCTGTTACTTAAACGAAGATCAAAGAAGCGCGAACAGAAGGTTCTCATATTACGATAACAGAATGCGCGCGGAGATATCTGACGAGGAACGCGGCTCGGCTGGCGTGCGAGAAGGGTAGCGAGAAAATCATTTCTATTGGCTCAGGAACGCCTAAGCTCTGTCCCGTCAACGGAACGTCCAGTCGGCTAGAGAAAAATCATCGATAACTCCTTCTTTCCGAACAATTTCTCCGCTTTCAGCGTTGGAGAATAAAGCGTGGACCTTCGGCAACTTTCACGTCTAACTTTCAACCCGATAGACCCTTTGGATAATTAATTATTAACAATCTTTGTGCCCGTTGCGATCGTTGAACGAAACATCGTCCCCGATAACGCTCGATATCTATCGAACTGTAAGCGACGTGTTGATCAAAATTCCGTTAGAATGTAGCTAAGGGTGTAAGCTTTCAGAAACGTACTTGAAAGTTTGTGAAATGTGCCCAAAAAAGTAGGAAATTAAGGAAACATCCTAGAATTGCGTCTTACGTCAGTTCCGACATTCGGCCCGTAAATTGTTAATAACTAATTATCGAAAGGATGTAGCGCGTTATAATCGATATGTGAAAGTTGCCAAAGGTCCGTACTATTTTCTTCGATACTAAAAGTAAACAAATTCCTCCTAAGTAATGAGATATCGATGATTTTTCCCTAGTCGGCTTGATTTACCCATTTCATTGGTCCGCTGTCTACGAGGAGGAACTCACACACCTCTCGACCAATAGGAATCGTTTCTCGGTATCCTTCTCGCACAGTAGTGCGTTCCTTGTCTAATACCTCCGTGCACATTCTGTTATCCTGATAAGAAATGGCATTAGTGTCTCGGACCGGTATTTTCTGTCCTTGTTTAACTCACGGAGGAATGAGTTGAACAAGGAAAAAACGAGGGATAGACGAGGATAGCACAAGAGAAACGAGTCAGACAAGGAAGCATATAGGGTGAGACAAGGACAGAAAATTTCAAACCGAGTCTTCTCGCGTTGGTGACGGAACTACGATTTTTTAATAGGAACACAGAATGTGAACAGAGGTGTTAGACAAGGAAAGCACTAGACAGAGAGAGAATGTTTCCTACTGGTCCGCTGGCCGCTCAGCTCCACGTCCCACGCGCTGTATCAAGTCGGTCGGGGAAGAATCATTAATAATTCAATAATTGCGATGATTTTGTGAACTTCTAGGATTGAAGAATGTAGCGTGGATCTTTAGCTACTTTCACATATAGTTTTTAGTGCAATAGACCCTTTCGATAATTAGTTATTAACAATTTTAGTACGCGATGTCGAGAACGATACCGCATACCGTTAGGTACCTTGACAGTTTTTCAATAATTTCATAGCTTTCTACTAAATTCTCGTACACGTAACTGAACGAATCTGAAAGGCAACTCTTTCGGCTACATTCTCGTATAATTTTTATTAACATATTCCCTCTAGTTTAATAGTTATTAAACATTCTTTGGAAGAGTATTACACCCGTCGCATTCAATCGTAACACGTTTTCGTTATTTCCATAGAAATGCGTGACTAATCATGCACTTTGACGTATGGAGAATGTAGAATGGACTTTTATTTATCTTCTGCAATTAGTTTGGTAACCGTAAGTGGTGTGGTTTATTAGATATTAGCAATTATTTGTAACAGTTGACGATACTCGAGTACGATAAGTAGGGGACTGTCTCGTATAATGTTTAATAGCTCCTAAACTAAACCGAATAGGTTGATAAAAATTATATGAGAATATAGCTAATGGGGTTGCCTTTCAGACGAATACAGTTAGTTGTATGAGAATTTAGGAGAAAACTACGAAATTATTGAAACACCGTCAAGATATGTGGTATCGTTCCGACATCACGTACAAGAACTATTAATAACTAATTATCGAAAGGGCCTAGAGCATTGAAATCTATATGAGAAACTAGCTAAAGGAATCACCTTTCGAATGCATATATGAAAGTGCATAAATTATTCGTGTAAAGTTAGAAAATTAATGAAAAACAAGAAATGTGCGGTATCCCGTTCTAAATTTGCCGACAACCCGTACTAAAATTGTTAATAACTAATTATCGAGAGGGTTCAGTGTACTAAAAACTATATGGGAAAGTTGCTGAAGGTACACGCTTCATTCTTCAATTCTAAAAGTTCACAAAATCATCGTAATTATTCAGTTATTAATGATTTTTCCCTGACCGACTTGATTGGCTCGTGACAGGCGGAATATGGCGGGCCCCCAGCCAATAGGAAGCGTTTTCTCTCTGTCCTTCTCGTACACTAGTGCTTTCCTTGTCTAATACCTCCGTTGACATTCTGTGTTCCTATTAAAAAGTCGTAGTTCGCGTCATCAAACACGCGATGGCGGTGGTTTTACATAGAAATGGCGGGAACTGCAACTTGGGAATTAAGTGTGGTTGTATAATTATATCAAATTATTCTTTTATTATTTCTTTGTTTCTACTGATTTTTAAAAACACAAATAGTAATGTGCGCAATTCATTTTCAAATCATATTGGATATGTTTTTTTTAAAGATCAATAATCACGATCAGAGTGAGCAAATTCACTCAAGATAAAGAAGTCACGATGATAACTATCGTAAATGAAGTTAAATAATTACCGTGATGGTGATTACTTTCTGTCCGTTGAATCCCAGTTCTAACATGGAACGATACTTTAATAAAATAAATATTGTAAAAAAAGGACATTCTTAAAATATCAGTTTTATTGCAAACATTTTAGATAAGTTACA